CCAATATGGCACAACAATACAACAAAAGCGAGCTATGAGGCGCAACGCTGGCGAGAGTGACATGACGAAGGTTTGGTTTTAGAAATACTCGAATACTCGTACTTCCAGTGGCGATTAAGAGGAAACAATACCGCGAGCACATGGACCAAATTGGGATTGAAAACGAAAGAACATCCAAGTAGCAGAGATCGAAGCGCCTATCATGACATGTACATTCCAGATCCTTTTGTCTCCCTATCTCAACTGTTCGTCATGTCGTTATCTAAAACCTTTCATCGTTTGCTTGAGTCACAACATGTATTAAAATATAGTAACATGGATACATTGTGTTTGCGAAATTAGATGGACTCTTTTCCTGTTTGCGATAAACATATACCTGTTTTATATAATAATATTTCATACTTCATGTAGTGACATTGTGACAGTATATGTACTATAGCACTTCATTCCGTTTTAGAACTGTATCTCGCTTCGAGTCCTATAATTAAACCAGAACCTGATCAAAATGCCGCTATTTCTTGCCAATCTTGCCATGTCCAGCTACTTCTTGGCACTTTGTTATGTACTAATAACTGCAATGACAATAACAAAATATCTGGAAGTACGTGGTGTTCTCAAACGTCATCAACATACGACGTGGAGCACAGTCCAATTGCTGGTTTTGAGTGTGGCGTTGGGCTCTTTTTTTCCGTTCAGCTACGTTCTCAACTCTTTGTATTTTGGACTCACAAGCGACAGTAGATTTACCTACTGGAATGTCTGGTAAAAATTTATGGACTCGTGGAGAATTATCACCAATTTATGGGGGAGATGACATGAAAGAATCTAGACCAGATACAACAGGAAGCCATGGACAAGCTGAACTTGACTTTTACAACAAAGTAGTGGCCGTGCTCTTTAATCTACCTGATTTTCTATTTGTATCGTCGTATCTACTACTGGTTCTTGTATGGGCTGAAGCTTTTCAGTCGGTAGGGATTGTCAATATCTTGATCGACTTTTTGATCACATCTGTTGTTGGGTTACACAATATAACTTGTTGTGTATTGCTCTTTGTTGGAATTTACAATAGTCACGTCGTCATTGGTTTTCTGCAGCTGTTTTTAGACGTAAATGGATGATCTTTTATTTGGTCTTTAACGGAGGCCTGTACTTGACTCAGCTTGTGCTGTATGCGAGTCTGTTCCTCTACGACACGAATGGGATTTTTGAAGATGAAAAGGCAGATCGGCTTAGTGTTGTACGTTGTGTGATTTGTATATAAGTTGGCTACCCTGTTTGACAGACTTGTTTGGCATGACTCAGATTCCAGCGACGATCTTTTACTTGGTCGCGACTGCAGACTTGTTTCTTCCAATCATTATATTCTCCACGTGGTTGTATTTGACGCTATCACTATCGGGATTTCCATTCAAATCGCAATCGGCAGAGCTTCGTCTTCGGTTGGTTGGCCGTTTAGTCATAGCTTGGAGCTTCGGGCGTGTCCTTTACAGTGTCATGACGCTTCTTACGTTTACTAAGGTAAATGTAACTCAGTTACTTTAGGAAGCCGGTTTTTGAAACATCGTTAGTTCCCTCACCAATTGTGTTTGGACTGTTTGATTCTGGACAGGGATGGTTTAATGTGCACCATGAAAATGCGTCGGTATGGCCACAATACTGCTTGAGGTGAAGCTTTAGAAAAAGTTATTTAGTAGTGTTATTTTATGTGATGACACAGGCACAGGCAATGCTCCTCGTCATAGTATTTTTTGCCGCAGAGCTTATCCCCATTTATTTAACGCTGGACAAGCGCTTACTTGCAATGCTCTCTGTCGAAAACTATGAACCGCTACTAGAGAGCTCTGGGATTCATCGTTAGTTGGACTTGAAGCAAGTAACGATCATCGACAATATCGACATTGTGGGCACGTCACAAATGCCGTACAATTTGTATGAAACGAAGCCATGTCCGTGTCGACAACATAAATGACGTATTGGCGTCGGCAAGCGGACTAGTTCAAATTATATAGTCGTGAAAAGCTACGACGCATATTGAGCAGCTACAGGTAAGTTCAGTATCCGTTGCCTTTGAATTAGCTCTAAAGTTTAATGTTGTATTACGCCAGCACTTTGAAGTCCAACGTTGTACAGAACGTCATGTACTTGACATTTTTCATACATTGGATACTATCGCGGCTATATAATATGGTAAATCCAGGCGTATCTAAAACGATCTTTGAACATCAACCCAAAAGGCTGTAAGCACACAATACATGCATGGCCTGTGATCAGCTTCGCTAATGAGGCTGTATACTTCTAAGAAAACATGACCAAAGCTGTACAAGAGCGTCAACCAGCTCTTCTAACGCTACACTCCAGTGATATCAGCAAAAGTAAGAGAATATAACTCAATAAATCACCAGATACGTGATGGCAACAAAAAAAATTCATGGCATTTCCTGTCATTTTTCCGTCGTCCAACAACAAAAATAGTGGAAGTCCTGATTGTAGCAAGCTAACAACCAAAGACAGCACTTGGGCTTCTTTCTCCTCCGTGAGCTTAAACAATGGACCCAGCGTTCGAGGCGATACGTGGCCACAAATCGGCGCACTCTTTACCCACGGGGCCAGTAATGGCCGAGCCCTTCATCTCACCCTTGGGATTGACTATCACACCGGCATTGTCCTCAAAATAAAGGAATACACCGTCCTTACGGCGCCAAGCCTTGCGTTGACGGATGACCACAGCGGGCATGACCTTCTTGCGAAGATCCGGCTTACCCTTCTTCACCGTGGCCAGTACCATGTCACCTACACCAGCGGCGGGTAGACGGTTCAGACGTCCCTTGATTCCGCAAACTGCAATGATGTACAAATTCTTGGCACCAGAATTATCGGCGCAATTCATTACGGCACCTACAGGAAGACCGAGAGTCATACGGAACTTGTTGCCCGAGGCACCACCACGTCCTGCAGTAATTAAGTTACAAGTTTATAAACCTTACAAAGCTAGAGAGAGAAGGACGGAAAAGCCTTAACAAAGACAAACGTACCACGCTTTGTTGCCATTATTGCTACTTTTTGTTAAGAATGACGACCGAAGACCAAACAGCTCATGACGGTCAGTAAACGGTTGGTTCGGGTGGACTGCAATTCATTTTGCAATTCATCACACACAAAATAACGGGACTATTTATGATTTTGTGCAGTCATGTAACAAAATTGTGTCGATTCTTATTCGTGTGATGTGGTTGGTACAAATACAAAGATGTCGTACTAAGTCCTCTTACAGTTTTTTCGTGTCACATCATGGTGGACTACTGGGTGTCTAGGGAGCGGCACTATTGCAAGTACTGCAATGTGTGGATGCATATCGACAAACTGGTATGTAACTATTCAGTATCATGTACGGTTACTATTTGCCTTCTGAACTGGTTGATATTGCTGTTGTAGAGTATCAAGCACCATGAGCAAGGTCGAAAGCATAAGGACAAGATCCAGGAGACGCTCAAACTTAAGCGTCAGGCAAAATCGGATGCTGCAAATGCGCAGAAGGAAGTATATGAGCAGATAAAGCTAATCGAAGAGGAAGCACAAGTCAAGTATGATCAGGATATGGCCATCCGCGGCATGAGACCACCGCCACCGCCTCGTTTTGGAAAGAGCAATGCAGCACCTCCTCCTCCTAGACAAAGCAGTGTTAAAACTCCAATTTTATCGTCAAATACGAGAAAACAGTTACATGAAGTTTATTATTGTCCACACATTGAGCCAAAAGAAGTGGACGAAGAAAAACAGGAGGAGGACAACGGAGTGTACGCTGTGCGAGGGAATGTATATTTGGAAGGCAAAAAGCACGAGACACAGTTGGAGGGTGGAAGTGCATGTCAGATCTGGGTAGAAAAGACCGAGCAGTGGCTAGATGCATTAGTGGAACAGGCTACAGTGCACACGGTCCCTAATACTGACATGAGTTTCAGACGCTTTACGATCATGTACATGTTGCCACCGTCGGAAGAAAGTGTAAAGAATGGAGATAATAAACCCACACCAGTTACTGAACGTGAGGTGCTAGCGGATCGCTTGCGAATCCCGTTGCCAACGAATATGACGCTTGAAACTGCAGGAAAAATGGTGGAGACGTGGCGAAATGGTGGAACAGTAGAAGCAGCACCTCGAGCACCTGTTGTAGTCGATGAGACGACTGGCATGGGTGAGTGGAGTACAGTGGAAGTACGACAAATTGATGAAAGCCCAGAAGCTATAGCGAAATGTGCGGAAGACGCTGAGGCGAAGGCTACACGGCTTGCTGAGGAGCAAAACAAAATAGATACTCTGGATGATTATTCTACGCAAGGAGACAACGCTCTGGGTGCGTTTAACCCGTGGGGAGGCACCTATAAGGGTGTGAACCTGGAAGATGCTGCAGATGCGACTGCTGATGGTTCATTGCCGTGTACACAAGTAACACGTCGTGAACAGGAGATTAATATCACTACAAAAGGGAATATCCGCTTCAAGAAGCGCGGCCAAAAGAAGCAAAAACGTCGCAGGATACACATGGATGACGACTAGTATCGTAGTGATCTAAGCTCCAGCATCGCAAAATGTGCTTCTCTGCAGTGCCCATTCTCGTCTGTTTTTGTTAGGTTGTATTGTTGGTTTGTACATGAAAACATGCTTTTGCTTTGCTTAAAGTTAACAATGCAGCCGACATACAAGACCATTCCATGCATACACAGACCTCATATTCCCAATAGCAAGACGAAAGAATGAAAGTCCTCGCACGATACGAGACGACCGAGAACTCTACAGGTGGCCACCAGCTGCCTTGATCTTCTCAGCATCCAAGTAAGCCGTGCCGTAGGGCAAAAATTCGTCACTGTGGGTGCTGGCAATACTCTTGTACTCACTGGCCTGCTTGGTGATGTCGGCCACCTCGTCGTCTGAGAGGTCGCGCACGTAATTGGCCGGGTTACCAGCCCAGAGCTGTCCGGCCGGTACACGGCGTCCAGGGGGGCACAACACTGCCAGCAGCGATGATAGTGTTGGACTCGACCAAAGCGCCGTCGAGGATAATGGCACCCATGCCAATAAGCGCGTTGTTTTCAATCGTGCACGAGTAGAGCGTACAGCCATGGCCAATTGTGACATCGTTACCAATGTTTGCACCTGGGGCCAATCCAGGAGTAGTGAAACTGGCCGTGTGGATGACCGTACAGTCCTGTACATTGGTGCGATTACCAATGCGCACCTGGTTGAGGTCGCCACGGATCACCACATTGTAAAAGACCGAGGCATCATTGCAAATTTCGACATCACCCACAATTGTGGCATTTGGCGCAACCCATACGTCATGTGCAATCTTCGGTCGTTTGTCGTACAGCGCCATGACCTGACGATGGCGAGAGACTGATAAGAGCAAAACAATACGTGGATATTAGAAATTTCATCGATTTAAAAGAAGAGAGAGACAGCGGGCGTACACTTTTCCTTAAACGAATTGTCATTCAATACTCGAAGACCGAGACGATCAAGAGCCTGGCCGGTCTCTCGAATGCAGCGGCCAAGTTCGAATGTCGCCTTGCGGATCATTATTGCTGCGATAGGAAGAAGGAAGAGCGGGATGAACGAGCGGCTCCGAGAGAGACCACCACAAGTATTCGGACAGAATACAAAATACCGGTAGACTAAATCATTTTATCCGGACGGACCTTGAACGACCGGTTTGATATGTGGTTTACACCGTTGTAACCGGTCCAAAAAATAAGTACAACTGATTTATGATTGGCCCAATAGATCTTGTCGAAACGGATACCATTTGGGTTATATCGGCTAGGAAAGGTTATTGATTGAGCAAGTAGCGTTTGGCAACAATTGGGTTTATTAGGTCCTATATGGGCGAGCTCGTAGCTGCAACATTTTGTCAGTTAAGACAATATCAGTTGAGACGTGTTCTACTGTTGTGGTCTCATTTTCATTATATGATACGCCGGTTGACCATGGCCACGTAAATTAGTGTCAAACCCGTTACATCCGACATTTGGTACGGCTGTACTATCCTTTTCCTCTCTCTTAGCAGCGGAGGTTCTACAGCTGACGGCCCAACGGGATACTTGGGTCCAAAGTCTCCCAGTGCCGGGGTAATCCTGACCAGACTCACGTCTTCTCGGCCTTCGTCGGCAATTTTACGATCCTCCTGCAACGCGAATCAGGCCCAACCTGGATCTGATAAAACGATTTGGCCAATGTCGGGTTAAACGTGCAGCCAAGTCCGGGTGAAGACAAATGCGAACTGAGCACTTCGGATACGAGACGTGCGACGCTGTATGCTGACTATCGCGGCTTTAAGTGTCTTTCAGAATATATGTAAGCAATTCTACGAATCAAGTCAACTGTTTTTTAACCCGGCCGCCGTCAGATCAATTCTGGCCTTCTCTTTGCAACGTGTCCGGCAGGAGGTGTGGGTGAGTGTGTCCATCCGGTCGTGGTTAAATCACGAAGACAGATGCACGCCATGCAGTGGTTGATGCCGGATGCATCAGTCACATCAACCGTGGCGTGAATCATGCGGGCGACGAGGGGCATGCAGTACACCGTAGTGTAGATCATGCGGGTGACGAGAAGGCATGCAGTACACCGTGGCGTGGATCATGCAGACGACGAGGAATCGACTTGAATGCAGCACAAGCTGCGTTGAAGACCAAATAAAAGATCATCCATTTACGTCTAAAAAAACAGCTGCAGAAAACCAATGACGACGTGACTATTGCAAATTCAACAAGAGCAATACACAACAAATTATATTGTGTAACCAAACAACGCATATGGGTTGAAGCTTTTTCAGTCGGTAGGAATTGTCAATATCTTGATCGACTTTGAGATCACATGTAACGGCGTTGGTTTAGTGGTAAAATATCGTTGACGT